TCAATCTAGTCCCACCTCTTAATATCTCATAGTGAGGATTAAGTTTAACCTTCATTTCAGAGAGGACAAATCTTATTTAAACCACATCACCTCCTTCTCTGAGTTTTGGGGCTCAGGGGTGCCTGGCTATGTAACCCAGGCTAGTCTCCAATATCTGAACTCCAGCAAGGCTCCCAGCTCGGCCTCCCAGGTAGCTGGGCCCACGGTTCTGGCTTCCTTCTCTCCCGTGCTCCCCACGGGTGCTGACAGGTGTGTCGGGGGGGGGGTGCAAACGGAGAAGGGGGAATGGAGAGTGAAGGACTGCAAAATGTACAAACACTACAAGTTACAGGGAGAGGAGCAGGGCGAGAGCAGAGAGCTTTGTAAACAGGATTCATCAAGTCTGCAGCATCCGGGAGGCCCTGCTCAGTGAGTTCAGCTGACTTCACATTATTGTTTATTCAGGCTCCACTTCTGCCAAGAGAAGCCTGAAGGAACCCACAAGCATGGCTGGCGAGACATACGCATGGATGGCGTTTCCTTCCTTAGCCTCAAGTCCTCCTCCCCAGGAAATGCCCAGAGTTACCCCATTCACAAACCCACACTGGGGTTGTCCACGGAGCAAATCTCAACAACACACAGCCAGAGCAGCTAATTAGTATCCTTCTGAGAAACAAGGCCAGGATGTCTGCTTCTGTTTTTAAATTTTATTGAATATTCTACTGAGGTTCTAGCTCCTGCAGCAAGGAAAGAAAAAGAATGGAAAAGCATATCATTGTAAAGGAAGAACTATTGCGTATATTCACAGATGTCTGATTATCTACATAGAAAATCCTAAGGAGTCTACAAAAATACTAATTACATCAATTTAGCCAACATTCAGATACAAGATCAATATGCAGAAATCAATTCTACTTCTACATGCTTTCAACAAACAATGGAAACAAATTTATTGAGCTGGAAACTGAAATAAAACAACTTATTTTAAATATTTTAAGGAAGCATTTAAACATTGTTATTTTAAATCTTTTAAATTTTTAAATAAAAACATTTGTAATAGCATCAAAACATAAAATACTTAAGAATAAATTTAACAAAAGATATGGAAGACTTCTAACAGAACACTATGAAACAATACTGAGAGATTTTAAAAGACGATCTAAAAGAGTAACAAAATATACCATGCTTGTGCATGAGAATACTAAATATATTTAAAATTCTATACATTCAACATAATCAAGGTCAAAATCTCCAAGAGCACCTTTTTGGATATTAACAAGCTAATTCTAAGGTTAGCATGGAAATACAGGCAGCCCAGAGCAGCCAACGTAAGGACAAGAGCAGAGCAGGAGGTAGTGCTGGGAGGTTGAAGCAAGCAAGGTACTTGAGGTCCAAAATCCTGGTAATCAGGACAAATAATATTTTAGTGCAAATATTTCACAAAGTCAAACTTAATGGAAAAGATTCCAAGATGATATCAAAATTTTAAATAAAATAAGATCAAGGCTTATACTATCTGATTTAAGACTCACTTTAAAAGTAACCATAATCAAAACAGTGTGATACAAGCAAAATGATAGACCTAAGAAACAGAATAATAACCCCCAAAATAAAAAACCTGTACAAAATAAAAAACCTGTACTGTTTTTATACTGTCAATTATTTTGACAAGGTAAAAAGTCACTCAATAGAAAATTATTCCTTCCAACTGGAAACCATTATAGAAAAAAAAGAAGTTAACTAAACTTATATCTCAAACTATTAAAAATTGATTCAAACTGGGTCTTCAACCTAAATGCAAAAGCTTAAACTATAAGAAAATATAGGAGAAATATTAATGATATAGGAATAGGCAGAGATATTTAGGATCCCAAAAGCATAAACCACAAAAGAAAGGAAAACAATCAACAAGCAGACTTCATCCAAAGTTTAAAATTTTTCACCTTCAAACTACATCTTTTACAAACAGAAAGGGCAAGCTACAGGCTGGGAGACAATATTCACAATTTATCTATCGGGCACACGATTCATACTCAGAATACAGAAAGAGCTCTTACAACTCAATAGTAAGAAAATCCCACAATTGAAAAATTTTCAAAATACTTAAACAATTCACAAAAAGTAAAAAAAATTCAATAAGCACATTAAAAGATATCCAACATCTTTCATTGTCAAGGAAACACAGATTAAAGCCACAGTGAAGGGCTGCAGATGTAGCTCAGTGGCACCCCGTGTGACTTGCAATCGCAAGGTCTGGAGTTTGATCCCTAGTACTGGGGGGAAAAAAGCCACAATCAGATACCATTTCATAATCAATAGAAAAGCAAAGATATTAAAAATAAATAATACCGAGTAAACACATCTACCATACAGTCTATCCATCAACTACTAGGTGTCTACTCAAGAGAAATGAAAGCACACAAAAGCTTATTTACTCCTGTCCAGAGCAACTTCTTGTTTAAAATGCAAGACTGTGAACAATCTAAAGTCTAACAGGTAAATGCATAAGCAAATTGTGATACATCTATGCAGTGCAATTTTATTCAGCAATTAAAAATGAACTAGTGGGCCAGGGATTTACCTCAGTGGTTCTGCCGCCTGCCTCACAAGTGCAAGGATCCAAGTTTGAGTTCGATCCCCAGTACCAAAAACAAAAAAAATGAACTAGTGGCATAGGTAACCATGTTTGACTCTCAAAACATGCTGAGCTTTAAAATCCAGATGTGCACAAAATATATTCGTTGTATTTGGAGTTCGAGAAGTGGCAAAATTAACCTATACTTAGAGATGGGGTCAGGGTTTGATGGGATGAACCGGAATCCTGCACAAGAGCCCCGTGCGTGATACAAATGTTCACTTCTCACTTGGGATAGGGATTGTACCATGAGGCACACCGTACACTTCGAATGTGTGCATTTTACAATGTGTAAAGTAGCCCTCAATGAATAAAATCTCCCCCGACTGGAACGAGTAGCTGGGGGCGGGGGGAGCCCTTGGGTCGACGTGAGCCCCTGCCTGGTCCTCCTCTTGTCCCGGAATAGCACACTCCGGGCATCTTGGCCTGGGAACCCACATGGCCGCCCCCACCCCAGGACTGGGAACAGAGCCCTTACCATGGCCCTCAGAAAAGCACAGCCAGCTGCGGCGGGGGGAAGCGTGAATCCAGGCCTCCCAGAGTTCCTGCCCCCACTCACGTGGGCAACTTAATGGACCCCAGGCCTCAGTTTCCCCACTGCAAACTGGACCAGTTCCTTAACCCGAGCATTTAGAATCCAGTGCAGCGAGAGGCAGTGCGGGTGACCTTGGCCAAGGTCACTGGGCAGGGTCACCACCAGCCCTGACACCCCCAATGCGAGGCCTGTGCGAGGTGGCCCCCCGGGGGTGTGACCCACACATCTACGCGCCTTGGTGAGGCTGCCGTACGGAAGGTCACAGGCCCGAGACTAAACCATAGAAAGTAATTTTATTTCCAGTTGTGGAACCAGAACTCCACGACCAAGGTGCTCCAGGGCCGTGTCCCCCCAAAACCTCTGTGGGAGGGTCCTCAGTTCCTCCACCCTCTGGTCCTCCTGCCTCAGCCTCCCAGAGGGCTGGGACTATAGGCGTGGGACCCCTTGACCTTTGACTGCACACTCCAATCTCTGCCATCTTCCCCCGGGGCTCCGGGTCCAACTTTCCTTTTCTGATAAAGACACGGCTCAGGTGGGATCAGTGCCCACCCACTGGACTCCAGTCAGGCGTCAGCCAAGCCTGTTTCCCAGCAGTGAGTCACTCTGTCCTGGGAGGCACACGGTTCAGTCTGTGACACTTGGTTTTTACCCTGCGCTTGGAATTTACCCCCAAGGATGTCCAGTTGTGCAGAGGTGCAAGTTACACACAGGTGTGTGTGTCACCACCCAGGTCTGGGACAGCCACAAGGAACAGGCATGTGCGTGTGTGCACTGTGTGGACCCACACGCTGGGTCCACCTCCAGCTCTGCTCTTGCACAGCTCAGCGGCTGTAGAGCTCACACACGAAAGGAAATATTCCCACTGACTTTCCACAGTAAGATGACTTCTTTCCTGGCACATTCCTCCCTCTAATTCTACACTCCCCACGCCTGGCTTACACAGGAGGACAGACAAAAGGTTCAGGGCTGGGCTGACTCGGGACACACGCACACACACACTACACGCTGCACTGCCACGGGGGGGGGGGGCATGGGCCATGTTGCTCCAGCACCCTCGGATTCTGGGGTCTTTCTGACCGAGTTCAACATGTGCACCCCCCACGCCGGCAGGGCTTGTTCTAGAACTGCACATACACTTACAGGCACACACATTAAGATCTTCCAAGATCTTTTCAGATAAAAGTCCCCAAACTAAGCCACTCCGAGGCTGAAGCTGGTCTGTGAACCGGCAAGCGGAAGCAGACTAGAGGAGGAATAAACAACACAGTCCTGCCCGCCCCTCCCGACTCCCCCAGGAAGGGGTTCACACACCCACACCACTGACCCCAACCCTTCTGCCCGGCCTAGCAACCAGGGAACAGGAGGTCTGAAAGCGACAAATCCCTCCTGCCTCTTGGCAGAGAAACACGGCTTATCGAGTGGACGGAAAGTTTGAGACTGTACCTCACCATCCTCGGTGGACAGATGGGGAGGCTGAGGCTAGGACCAGCGTCTCTGTGGGGAACAGAAATCCTCTCCAACAGAAGGCGCCGCTGCAGACCGGTCTTCCTGCAGCCTAGAAAGCTCTGCGGCCTCCGCCGACTGCCCAGCCCCCTCTGCTGGTCCACTCACCCCAGAGACGCTGTGGCTGCTCATGAGCTTTGGTTCCGGAACTTTTGTTCTATTATTCACGGCAGGGGGGACCCCCAGGTGTCTCTTCTTACTACAGACCCCAGCCGGCTGCCTCGTGTCCATCAGGCAGTCAGCACCAGTGGCTGGATCTGAGACGCCTTTTGCGGGAGGGATTGGCACCGTTTTAGAATCAGACTTTTCTACAAGCCTCCCTTTTGGAGGAGATCAGGAAAGGAAACAATGAACATCAAAATTACAGAAGCACCGGTGAAGAGGCTGCTAGGCGCGCTCTCTGTCACGCCGGGTGGCGAGCTTTGGAGAAAAGAGCCTCCAGGTACACAGTCCCGCATCGCTCCCCGGCGAGTACACAGCGCGAGAAAGGCCTCCTCCGCTGATTCCGTCATTGTTCGAGATCGCAGCGCATCTTACACAAACCCAGACGGGACCCAGCGTCACTCAGCCAGCGCGGCCTCTGGGTGCGGCCAGGGACACCGAGACGCACAGTGTGGGCGGCACAGCGCGGCACGCCACTTCCGGATAACCGCGTTTGGCTCCTGTGACAAGTAGAGGAGAGCACTCTACAATAACAGTGGAGACTGGTACCGCAAATCCACAGCCAGTCATCTCGCCACTGACTGCTGTGATGACGCAGTCCTCACGAAGTGCTGGGCGCGAGCAGTCTCGTGGGCTCAGTCTTACACATCCCCACCTGCTAGGCTCCGGGGCCTGCTTTCACGGAAGATAGGCTTTCCGAGGGGTGGTGGTTTGGGGTTGATTCAAGGGAGGCTGCAACCTAGGCCCTGGCATGCACAGTTCACAGTGGGGTGTGCGCTGCGGGGTGTGCTTTCCTAGGAGGATCTGACGCCCAGGCTGATCTCAGGGAGGCGAGCTCGGGCTGACGGACCAGCCTCGGTAACCATGAGGAGCTCCTGGAGCTCTCGGGCTGCCCGGCCGGGGGCTGCTGGGCTGTATCATAACCGGTGGAGCAGCAAGCGTGCGTCCACCAGCGTCTGCCCTACCGCAACGGGCAAGACGCCCCTTGGGCAGCCACGCAATGCGGCTCCTCGCTGCCCAGGTGGCTCTGCACGCATGACTGTGCTCGTGTGGCCTCCCGCGCTGGCACAGGGGTCGCAGAACGTCTCACCACGGAGCATTTCTGGGTACGGCCGTGCGCTCACCAGGGATCGTCCACGCCTCGAAGACGCGAGCGCTTCGCTCACGCTGCACCCCGGCCGCAGCACAGCACCTGCCTCTCCGCCCTCGGGGACGCGCGGCTCTGGGAGAACCAGACCTCGGTCCAGCTGGGTTGGCGACCCGGGCCACTCGCGTCTCTCTGGGTCTCCACTTGCCCTCGTCTGGGTCTCCACTTGCCCTCGTGGGGCCGGGGCCTCGTGCCAGACCCCGGCGAGGTCCCCGACCTGCAAACTCCCGTGGACACGTGGCACGCGTCACCCCACGGCTTTGCGGCCTGGCCTTGCCTCCCAGCGGGGGCGCCCGGCTGCCCAGCCCAGAGGAGGCCTCAAGGCCGGCAGAAACCCCGGGAGGGACCGGGAGGGGCGCCAAGAGGAAGCAGGGAGCAGCCGGGAGGGGGCGCCCGCGGAGCCGCGCGCGCAGCCCTGGGAGCTGGGGCGCTCAAGGCAGTGACCCGCGTGCCCTTGGGCGGGGCTGGGCCAGAGCACTCGGGCCGGAGCTGCACCGGAGGCCCAAGACAGAGAGCGCGCGGCGCGGAGGACAAGGTGGGCCCACGGGTCGGCGGCTCAGGGTAGGGAGCGCAGCCAGGTCAGCCCTGCCCGGCCCTGCACCGCCGGTGGCCGCTGCTTCCCACCCTTCCCACCGTTCGGCTGGAGGCCGGAGCAGGGCGGCGCACTCCCGCCCCTCGGACTCCCGAAAGCACCGCGCGCCCTTGCCCCGCAACGCCTTCCCCCGGGCCGCGGCGGGGCGCCCTGGCGCCGAGCGTCCACCAGAGGGCACCCGCGGGCCGCACAGCCCGCCGCTCCCGACCTCGCTGGCCGCGCCTGCGCAAACCCGAGCTTCCGGCTCCCGCCAGCCATGAGCTCCGGGCCTATGGGCCACGGGAACCAGGACTGGGTCCGGGGGGATCCGGGGCGTCCGGCCTGGCGGCCTTCCTCTTAGGTCCCCAGCACGCGAGTGAGGTAGGGAGAGCCGGGCGTGGTGGCACACACCTGTGATCACAGCACCCGGGAGGCAGAGGCAGGAGGATCGCTGCTAGTTCGAGGCCAGCTGGGCTACTTAGTGAGACCCTGTCTCAAAAAACAAAGCTGAGCCGCATCCCAGCGGCCTCTCCCTCCCAATGGCCCAAAGTGCGCCCACTGGACCCCCTCCCTCGTCCATCCTGCGCCAGTCTGAGCGCAGTGGTCGCCTCAATATTTCTTCCCCAGTGCTGGGCATTGAACTCAGAGACTTAGCACTGAGCTACACCCCCAGGTCCCCACCCCTTTGAGACAGGGTCTCCCTAAGTTGCTCGATTGCCCAGGCTGGACTCCAACGTGCGGTCCTCCTGCCTCGGTCTCCTAGAGTTTAGAGATGACAGGTAAGCGCCCCCACACCTGGGCCGGTCTTTGCAGAACCTGCCCCGGCCACGTCCGTGACCTTGGGCAGTGCCCTTCTCCGTCCCAGTTTTCCGCGGGTGGCTGGACCCTGGTCTGGTGGCAGTTGCACTGACCCCGAACCCGGGAAACGGGGACACTGCGTCGTCCGACACCCAAGGGCGGCTGCAGGCTGCAGGTCCGCGCCGCAGGGTCAGGGCGGCCGCAGACCCCGGGGCTCCTGGCTCGGCTCACTCGGCCTCCTGGCAGCGCGGGTCCCCAGCCCAGGTCCCGAACGCCGGGCCCTGAGCCGCCCCACACAGCTCGGTTCCCACGTGCAGTCCCGCCCCCCACCTGTGCACAGGTCAGAGGCCTACAAGGGCCCGCAACCGAGCTTCGGAGTGAGCGCCCGTGTCCATCCGCCGCTCTGGGAGCCTCCCAGGCGGCGGGTGGAAACCATGTGCTGCCGCGGTGGCGAGCCTGTGACACGCGTGCTGCTTCTCTTGTAAGACAAAGATGTTAATGAGTGAGTTGTTTTTCTAAAGGGAAACCTCCGCGTTCAGGTTTGATGGCAGAGTCCTCGGCCCGCGATTAACAAGTGGCTTTGGGTTGCATTCCGGGCGCCCCCCTGAAAGGCTCGAGGTAGCAGAGGCAGGCGGAGGGCCTGCGCCGCCCGCCTCCACCCAGCAGCGTCCTCCCTTTATTTTGTACGCAGATGATGCCTTCGGGAAAGGAAAGGCGCCAAGCCTTCTATTACTGCTTTTAAAAATGTTTCTTGCGGAGGAGGGCGTGGGTGTGGGGCTGGGATATGGAAACTCGGTGTACTTTCTGCTTAGTTTCGCTGCAAACCTAAAGCTGCTCTACAGAATACAGTTTATGATTCTGAAAAAAGCTTTAAAGTGTGCAGCGCGGAAGGACTGCAGATTAGAGCTGCTGAAGAGCTGTGAGCCATTGTCAGCAGCCACTCAGGCCCAAGCGCGGCCTTCCACACGGGGCTCGAGTTCCCTGTCATCATCCGCTCTCCTTCGCTGACAGCGGGGAACCTGGCTGTTTAGTGAATGTAATAAGGCGCTGGAGGGGTTTTTCAGAATTGGTAACTGTGTAGAGAAACTTGCTCCTATCTGCGACTTTGCAGGCGGAGGCGAGAGAAATTGATCGTTTTATATTTCTGTGTTCTGGGCCCTGTGAGGCCCCCGACTGACTGCTAATCCTCCTGCGTGTCCCAGCCGGGTCCCTGGCCCCGTGAGTGGGTTCCTCTGCGAGGGAGGGAAAAGGCGCTCTGTCGGGGATCCGGAAATGGGGAATGGCTGCAGTGGGGAGGCGGACAGAGCGGCGGTCAGGGAAGGAGGCTGCGGGACAGGGAGACCCCTGAGATGGAGAAGGGGCCGGAGCCAGGGAGTGCAGCAGCCTGGATGCCTGGAAAAGCCCGGAACCCCAGCCTTCCTGCGAACAGCCCCGCCGACTGCCCAGGGGGCACATGCTGCAGCCGGCCCCGAAGGGCCAGGTGACGCATGCGCGCTGTTCTAAGCCGCTGAGTTGTGATTCGTCACAGCAGCAAGAGGGAACTCACACTCAGCCCCCCTAGAAGACACCCCGCAGGGTGACCAGGCGTGGCGGTCATCCTCACCAAGGACCACGTCTGCCTTGGGAACGTTAGAGTCCTCTCCGGCTGCTATTGTGAAGTGTGCGGTCCATCGCTGTCGGCCACAGGGACTCCATGCAGTGGAAACCAGTTTATTCTTCCTGTCCAGCTGCGCCCACCCCTGGCGTATTTTACTTCACACAGTGTCTTCATTTCCATCCGTGTTGCTGCAGAGTGACAGGGTCTCGTCCTTTTTGTGCCTGAATAGTATTCCACTGTGTCTAGCCCACGTTCTGTATCCAGTGGTGCCCGTGAACATCTAGATGAACTCCGTCTTGGCTGCTGTCAGGAGTGATGCAGTAAACATAGGAGCGCAGAGGTCTGGTTAAGTATCCAGTGGAGGGGTAATTGTATCATGGGGTGGTTCCATTTCTGGCTTTTTGACAACTCTCCTACTGTTCCCTATGATAACTGCCCTCATTTACATCCGCACCCCGGTTAGGAGAGCAGCTCCCGTCCTTCACGGCAGTGTTGATTGCTGTCAGTGTGAATGGGTCCGGGCGCTTCCCTCTTCCCTCCTGCAAGACCTCCTGCCCAAAGCAGGCTGGGCAGGAGGCGGACGGCTGGCTGTGGCCCCTGGGCCTGTGCCCTGTGCCTCCTGTCCTGGTTGTGTCCAGAATGACTCCGTCCAAGATTCTCAAAGGAATCGCTGTTGCAGTTTCTTTTCCCTGGACGTCAGGGCTGAGGAGGAAAGGTCTGCAGACGGTCTCTGTGGCCCTCTCACGTTTATGAAAGTCTGGCTGTGACAAAGGCCGTTGTATGTGGAGATGGAGACAGGTTCAAGTCCCAGGAGAGCTTGGTGAGTCCCCTCAGGAGCGACCCAGGTTTCCATCTGCAGCCTGCGAAGAAGCCTTCGGGAAGATAAAGATAATGCATGGAAAACACGGACAGTCTTAAGCGCTGGAAGGGTAGCGACATTTCTTTGTAACCAAGAAAGCCCAGAGGGGCGCGATCCCTTCAGGCAGGGCAGCTGCACAGAGGTGGGACCCTGGGTCCTGATCGCCCGGTGCCTGAGGCCGCTGCACACCTGGAGGGGGTCCTTGAGGGCGCTGGGGCAGAGAGGGGCCCCGGAGCACAGCCCAGACACCAGGAAGTCCAGGCAGCGGTGTCCCCAGGACCCTCCATGGCGGAGCCGGCGCCCAAGGCCGGGGCTCAGCACCCAGGGTCCCAGGCTCACGCAGCAGGGACCCGGAGCGGACGGCGGGAGGAGGAGGAGCGGAAAAGGCAGTTCCCGTCTTCCGACAGGGATCCGCCGCACACTGCCCGAGCGGGTCTGCAGCCACCAGACCCACAGCCTGGCCGCCTGCGAACCAGGGCCTGAGAGCCGCGCACAAGGCGCCCCCGCAGCCCAGGCCTGCAGCCCACAGGGCGCAGGGCCCACTTTCCCGGGTGAGAAGTTGAGGCCTGGGTCCTGCGCCCCCTCCCTGGTCAGGCTCAGCTGCCAGATACCGAGGTCCCCCTGTCTCCTGGCAGGAGCCCGAGTGTTCCCTGCCACATCCACCCCGCTGTGTGCAGGCCTGGGGACCACTGGGGACGGAAGGAAGTGGGTGTCCCTAGGCAGCCTGCCCTGTGGCACCCTCCCTGCCCTCGGGGCAATTCTCCATGTGCTGTCCCTGGGCCACCACAGGGCACCTGGAACCGGGGAGAAAGGCACACCCTGCTCCACTGCGGGCTCTGGGGTCAGACCTGGGAAAGAAGGAGGGAGGGAGGGAGGAGGGAGGAGAGCGGAGAGCCAGCCGGCCCCAGCCCTGCACAGTCCAGGCTGCCCTGCTCAGAATCGACGCCCAGCTCAGCGAGCAGCACCTCCCGGGACCCTGTCGCTGTGTGTACACGTTGCAGGGTGACCTCGAGGTCCACAAAACAGTGGGCGCTCACGTTGCCTCAGGACTCCTTGAAGGGCGTCTACCAGAGACACTGCCTTGCCTCACCCAGCCAGTGGAGCTCCGGGTGCTGGCCGAGTCCTTTGAGTTGAATGAAGCACCCAGGTCAGGGAATGGCTGAGGTGAGGTGGGTGCAGCCTGCTGCTTGGCTTCTCCCCGCCTAACGGAAGTGGTGCCAACTGCTTTGCACAGACCTGGGGCCGCTCCCACTTCTGGGGGCCTGTGCTCCCTGCAGGCCTGCCTGATTTATTACCAGTGACACGGGCGCGATTCTGGCCAGTGAGGCACAGGAGACGCCGGCTGGGGAGTTAAAGGAGACTCTTCCTCCCTATTTCCTTTATTTGCTTCTGCATGCCATTGTCTGGAACTGTTGCGCCTACCAGAATCGAGCAAGAAATGGGGCTATCGGGACAGCGCAGTGCTGAGGGTGACAGGGAGAGACTCGGGGACTTGAGATCTCCCTGACTTTGCCACGCCACCCACTCATTCGGCCCGGGGAGGAGGGGAGTCTTGGGATTGTCTTTCTGAGTTACATGAGCTGTTGCCTTATTTAGATAAATCGAATCGTTTTTCTTATTAGGTCACATGTAGCTGGCTTTTCTGTTACTTGCAGCCCATGACATCCTCGTGGCCACCGAGAAGGAGACTAGAATCTCACTGGACACAGGAGCAGGGCTGCCGAGCGAGGGGTCAGTGTATTCATGTTGCCGGCCGCGCTCTGCATGGCCTGGTCTTGTCCCGTCTCGATCTCAGCTGTGTTAGCATTTCGGCGCCTGCGTGGCTCTGCTACCCTCTTCCCATTGCCCATGCTTTATCCGTCCATCTGTCTTGCTGCCAACTGGCCGTTTCTCTCTGTCCAGTTCAGATTTCCCAGGATGAGGTCAAGATTGGCCCAGCTAGCAGTGAGGCTTCTGATGAAATTCCTCTCGGGCGGCCATTCCCCAGCTCCTGGTCAGTCCTGGAATTGGGTCTCACTGCCTAAGGAACTGTAGGAAGGAGGCACCGCCAGCCACACTCAGCTCAGGGCCCTGCGGGCAGGGAGGTTCTCTTTAGAAGGAAACACTGGAGCCCAAACAACCCTTACAGCCCAGCCTTCGTGGGTAGATAGAAGGGAGGACAGAGCCGACAGGGTGAGAACAGAGGAACCTCCTCGCCACAGGCCGCTCTGCTGTAGATCTGCTGCCCTCCTGAGAGCAAGGGGCTCCCAGCCAGCCTCTGCCTGGACGCCTTGGTCTGCCCGGCACAGAGTTCAGTACCCAGCACAGGAAGACACCCACAGCTGCTGTCCAAGGCCACGCAAATCCCCACGCAGCCGTGCCTGGGAGACACTGTAAGAATTGTTTCTCTGTTGGAAGCCTCGTGAAGCCCTGTGGGGTGCAGCGCTGTGTGGGGTGAGGAGCAGAACACCCAGGGACAGGGTGGGTGTCCCTTAAGGCAAAGCTGGACGGGACCCCCGGGAGGGAAGGCTCTCCGGGCCCCATGTGCAGCCACCGTGCTGTTCCCACAGTGTGGGTGTCAGTCCTGCCCTCCGAGCAAGCGGTCACAGGCGTGCAGAGGTTCCAACTGTCAGAACTGTCACTGCTAAGCTTCTGCCTCCTCTCCTCTGTCATTGAGTTCCGTGGCCTCAGGCAAGTTGTTTGAACTTAGTGGACCTCTGTCTCTTCATCGATGACTTTTTCCTGATCCTCCCCTCATGTCGCTGCAGAGCACAGCCACCAGCCCTCCACTTCTTAAGGTGCTAGGAACATGCTGGGCCTCAGTAGAGCCGTGGACGCTGTGCTTCTGAGCCATGCAAGGCAGGTGGGCCACCTGGTCACTCAGAGGGGTTCATGGCCACAGACACCAGACACGGCATCAGCAGGTCCTGTGTGTCACCCAGCTCAGCAGGGCGTCTGACGCCTGTGATCTCCAGATCAGAGTGAGAGGGATGGACAGACGGGCTGGCTGGGACAAGGAGACCTTCACTAAGGTCACTCTGAGCAGGAAGTGGAGAGGAAGCCCCAGTGTCTTTATCAGCTCCTGCTGCCTGCGGAGTGGAGCCCATGCCTGAGGCAGCTGGAAGCTACATGGGGCTGGTGCAGCTGGCTGCTGTCCTCAGGCGGTGCCCGAACCCTGAAGCCACATTTCGGAGCCACCTAATGGCTGGGGAGGGAGCGCAGAATCTTCAAGGCCTGGGAGCCAAGGCCCTGTCCGGGCAGAGTGAAAGGCAGACTTGGAAGTTCCTGGGACCGGAGTCGGCACGGTGGCTTAGACATCAGGGCACCAGGGAGCCCGAGGAGGCCACTTGGGGCCACTCAAAGGCCTCATGCAGCTGGTGCAGGAGGTTTCCGGGGCACTGTGGGCCATGCAGTAAGAGCACCTCAGATCCCAGTGCCAACTGCTCAGCAGCAAGGGGCAGGACCTGTTCGCCTCAGAGGGGCTCGGAGGAGCTTTCTGCCCCCAGAAAACAGGGCGCAGAGGGTTCACCTCCCCAGTGTGCTCATCTCGCCTGATCCCCAGGGCTGCAAGTGGGCTGGGTTTGGCTCCATCATTAGGTTAAGTGGCAGAGCTGGCCTTAAGGTAGAAAGGTGATTTGGGCGAGCTGAGCCTAATTCTGTGACCTGTTGATTTACTTGCTTATGTATTAAACCCAGAGTCTGCACTGAGCCACATCCCCAGCCCAGTTTTTTGATTTTTGGTTTTCAGACAGTCTCACTAAGTTGCCCAGGCGGGCTTGAGCTTGTAGTCCTCCTGTCTCAGCCTCCTAGCGTACTGAGATTACGGGCCTGTGCTAGGATGCCTAACTTCATGTGAAGCAGAGCATCCCCTTGTTTGGCAGCAGAAGGGGGTCTGAGAAGGGGATGAGGTCGGTGGCCGGAAGGTGGAGGCCACTTATCAAGATCCCCACTCGGGTGGCCCTCGGAGCTGAGAGCAGCCTGCCGCTGAAGCCAGCGCTGACTCTCAGCCCTGGAACCACAGGCACTGCCTGGCTGCCGACAGCAAGAACCTGGACGTGGATTTGTCCTTCCCAGATAAGAGCCCGCCCTGAGCAGCGTCTTGACTCCAGCCTGGATGTTCAGCCGCTGCCAGGAAGCACAAGCATGCACACCAGACTCAAACCTGTGCTCCAAGAAATGGCTGTTCTTTTCAGCTTTTAGGTTTGTGGTGATTTTTTTATGCAGCAATAGGAAAGGAATACAGAACTATGGCGAAGCATGCGATTCAGGCTTCGGACTAGAAATGTGTGCATTTCCATCTGACTCATATAAAGTGTGACTGAAATATAGGTGAATGTTTACATTTTTAAAAATTATTACAGAATGACAAGTGGCCACTAGTTCTCCTCACAATACTTCCCTTTGTCGGAGCACGCTTAGTCCAAAGTTCTTGCGCTTTCGGAAGCAGTCCTGGATGCTCTTTCAGAGAATACATTTCAGTGCACTTTATGAGCCTGTAAGCAGATGTGAGCGACTGCCCTTATTACCCCAGAACAAGCAGCAGAGATGTTTCCAGAACACCTGGAAACCTGCGGCGCGGAACAGCAGCCAGGCCCTGTTCTCCAGAGTGTGCTTTTATCTTGCAGGAGGAAAGAGTGGACTGAGAAGCAGGTTACACCAGTTCTCAGCATCACCACAGACAGAATTTAAAATTCTAAGCGGAAAAAAGGATGATAACCCCCCCCCATCGCCAGCTCAGTTGTTTAGAGAGGAAAGAGAAAAGGAAGTGAGAACACAATGGCTCAGGTAAGGAGGGCATGGGGCAGCAGGAACGGAAGCAACACCCGGGACGCAGAGGAGAGGCAGGCGTGCGGGAGGAGCCGCAATCCCGAGCCCACCGGAATGCGCCTGTGCTCAAATACAGGCATGTGCAGCACCCTACACAGGAAAGGGACCGTAGCTAGCCAGGCTGCAGGTGCAGAGAGTCAGCCTCTAGAAACTCAGCTCCTACAGCGGGACCAGAGGGTAAGCGCAGCAAGCGGGAGAGAAGGCAGATGAGGAGACCGGATGCTCTCCCCACTGTCAGCCTCCTCCAGGCGGGACGTTCACGGGGGATCACATTGCAGTTGCTAGACAGAGAACTACTTTGGAGCAGATTCAGAAGAGGAAAAGCCAGCGTGAATGCTGTATTTACCCAACATGACAAGAAGCGGCTTGTTTCCTGCCTGTCCTATTATTCACTGACAATGAAGACGCACTTCTTTAAATAGAGTGAACCCAGGAAATTTGGAAAAACATACACATACAAACAAGAGTAAAACATCAGATAAATTTAAAGAAGCCACTGAAAGCAGAGCATGATGTTACACGCCTGAGATCCCCACACTCTGGGAGGCTAAGGCAGGAAGACCTCAAATGAGAGCCCAGCCTGGGTAACTTAGCAACCCAGTGAGACCCTGTCTCAAACATTCATAAAAGGCTGGGGATGTAGCTCAGTGGAAAGGCCCTGGGTTCCATCCCCAGCACTGCAAAATGATAAAAATCAAAAGCTTTCCCAAGTGCGCAGCATTCTGTACTCGGTCCCGAGTTGAGCAAAACTAAGAAGCAACTGCAATGAGTCTGGACACCGCACCATCGAGAAGATCCAGTTTTAGGGTCTTCAGTAAACCCAGGGGTTGACACAAGCTTGCGTTAAAGCTCAGCTCCACATTCGCCGTTTGGGAGAAGCCAGGAATGTTTCTTTTTTTTTTTGGTATTGGGCATTGAACTTGGGTCCTTGCACTTGGTGCAGCAGGCGGTGAAACCACTGAGCTAAATCCCGGGCCCGAGATGCCAGGAATGTTCCCAGCTTTCTCAAGCATCCATGTCTTGGTCTGAGACAACACACAATCCACTGGCTTTGAAGAGAAATAAATGGAATAATACACAAAAAGCCTGGCGTAGAGTCAGTGCTCAAAAGGGGAGATTAATGTTTAAATTGCTGTTATCGTCCCAGCTATCAAGTAAGGGCCCTAAATAAATATTCTCCAGGACCCTTTCCCTCTGTGAAGTTTTGTGATTCTAACCTTGTACAATTTGGTGGTTCCTTAAAAAGCTAAGCAGAAACATTATACAACCCAGGAAGCCCACTCATAGGTAGATATTCAAAAGAGTTGAAAGCAAAGAATCACAGATTATTTACAGCATTATTAATTTAATAATTAAATTAATCACAGATTAATTACAGCATTATTTACAATAGAAAAAGATGGAAAAACCATAAGTTGTATCAACCGATAAGGGGATAAACAAACTATGCTTGTGCCATACATGCCAGGGAATATTATTCAGTCATGAAAAGAATAAAGTTCAGATACACCCCGCAACACAGACAAACCTTACAGACATCACGCCGGATGAAATAACCCAGACTGTGATTCCATTTATATAAAATATCTAGACAAGGCAAATTCCCAGAGACAGAAGGTAGCGATTACCCAGGGCTGGGAGAAGGGAGGAGTGTGGAGTTTTTGTTAGGGAGTAGCAACTTTCTGTTTGGGATGACGGAGTTGGAGACAGATCCTGGAGATGGTCACACAGCAGCGTGGCTGTGTGATACCATGCAATCGCACACTTAAAGTGCTGTACATGTCATATTTTGTGTTATAAACACATTTTCCCACAAGAGATCTTCCGTTCTGTCTTTCAGACTTTCCTCCAAAGATATGGAAACGGCCAGGCTAGAGAGACGAATGCTCCTGTGTTTTCACATTTCCGAAGAATGTGCCAGGGCTTCAGCGCCGGCCTGCTGGCTGCAAGCTTGGCCTCTGTCACTGCTGAGCCTGGCCTGCGAGATGTAACCCCTGGGGCCCAGAAGTGCTCACCTGGTACCGGTGGGAAGAGTGTTTCCAAAAGGCAGCTCGCTACTCCGGACTTCCTGGCCAGTGGGAAGCAGAGTGAGTCAGAGTGGAGACCCCACGGCCTGGGCCCAGGTCCTGCTGCCCTTGAGGCTGACTTCCCCAGATGGTGCAGGGTGTGGCCCCCAGCGCTCCCTGCAGGGCAGGTGACAGTCACAGCAGAGCGTCCTGAGGCTCTGCTCCGAGTCCCCCCACCCTCCCCACCTGAGGCATAGAGACTTTTCAAGTCCTACCTTGCTGCTCTGGGTACAGCTGGGGAGAACACTTCGCCATCCAGCCTCCTCGGACCTCTGCCCCCTCCTCACCACGTTTACGCCCCTCAGGCTCCAGCTGTGAGACCTGCTGACCGGACCTGGAAGGCTCCTCCCTCGACACTGCCCGGCAGGCACAGTCCCCACCCTTCAGGCCTCCACCTGGACGTCACCTCCTCCAGGCGACCTTCCCCGGACCGGACCGAGTGCCAGGCCTTCTGGTCCCTGTCATGGCCCCCGGGATCACTGGAGGGCTTCCTTGGGTCTCTTCAGCCAGACGTCAAGCAACTGTGCTGTTACCCTTAACCAGGAGCAGGTGCGGTGCTGGCTGCACAAATGAGAGAGCTTGGGTAGATGGGAGAGGAGATGGGCGTGTGGCCGGGCACTGGGCCGAAATGTGTCCCCTGGTACACTGCAGGACAGCGCCAGCTCCTGGGAGTCTGCTGCCTCTCTCCCGGGCTCAGGGTGTGCTGTCCAAGAAGCACTCAGTATCAGTGGGAGAGTGCTCCACATGGTAACAAAGGTCCCACATAGGGCAGGTAAGGCGACTTTGTCTTTGAGAGACGCCAGTGGCCCCAGCAGTTTGCTTTCAAGTAGATTTCTACACACGCCTTTTCTCTTCGACTGTCAAAACCTGCCTGGTTGTTAACCCTCCGCCTTCTGCTGATGGTAGCCGTGTCTGGACTACCGAAACTTAAAATTCTTGTCATCTCTGCCTCCACCTGCAGCCCCAAATCACGACAGTGTTCTGCCTAGTCACGTGACTTTCTGTCCACAGGAGGTTCCCATCACAACTGTCATGTCCTCAGGCGCCCTGATGAAGGGCAAAGCTGCATTAAAGACTGCTTTCCTCCGCAGTGTGAAGTCCTGGAGCATACCTGGCAACTGAACACCACTGAACACATGGCACAGGATAAAACCTCTACCCCTTCAGCAGCTCTAGGAAAACAGCCCAGAGAGAGGAGATGGCCCCCAACAGGGCAGTGACCTAGTACTGCTTCCTTCTGATCTTCATAGCCCGAGAACAGTTAGGTCCGTGTGCCTCTGCCACAGGAAACAGAAAGCCCCGCTTTCTCCCTTGAACCATTGGTGTTGTTGGACTGCCTTTCACTACGCAGGAGAAGCCTTAAGGAGCAATTGAATTTATAGCTCGGCTAAGGTCAGAAGGAACATGAATTGGCATTAGTTATTCACGGTCAGGCCACAGAGTGAAGTAAGTTCATCTCAACTTCAAAGAGAAGTTTCATTCAGTCTTCTTCAGCTGTCCAAACGAAATCATTCTGCCATGTAAGTTGATTTTTTACATTCCTACTAACTTATAGCATCCAACAGATACTTTCTTCAGAAAAAAAATGTACCTGAGATAGAGGCATTCTCCGTGAGCAGGTGTGGACAGGTGAGAGCGTGGAGCCCAGCGACGGGTCAGGCTCAGTTTGGGAGTCTCTCTGGGCATCGACCTTGCACCTGAGGAAGAGCAGGATTTGCACGCAGGGCTGCTTACTGGACAGGACCAGTGGTTTCTCCGGCCCTCCTGCAGCATGGCAGCCTGGCTGGGCAGGACAAGCTCAGGGCTGGACACCCCAGTGTCACGTTCACTTGTCCCCAGTCTCCATCTCAAGCAATAGTTCTCATTTGAACAAACAGTTCAAAAATATCTGTTGTGTAGAGGACTGGCTCGTTACTCATAGGTATTTCACATGTTCCCAGTGACTGTTGAGGCATCTGGCAGTTAGGGTCAAAGCACAGAAATTACAACCAGTGGCTCTCCGGGTTCCCTTCATGCCATTTCAGACCCGGGAGGAAACACAGCCTTGTGTTAAGGATTTAACAAGGATCAGGTTAGTGCGTAAAGGCGTCTGTTCCTGCTTAGCAGCAACGTGACAAGCAGCCATCGGAATGGCTCCTGTGCCTCATAAGGCGGGTGAGATATTTTCCATGTTGTCCTTTGGTTCCCTTTTTAGAGGCCCATGAAATCAATTCCTGCTTGAGCTGCCTGTAGATGGGTTTTACCCTTCTGATTGTCAGGAAATGAAAGCTGTGTGATCCAGCGTCATTAGCTTTTGCTTGGCCTGCCAGAAAACTGACAGTCAGTTCACTGCCACGCGTCCCGTTCATTTGGCTGAAGTGCATCCTGGCCTGCTCTGCCCGCGTCCCTCAGCAGGGTCTCGGGACTTCAGTGTTCACCGCATTGGAAGCAACTGTGGGCACATGGTTGCCTGGATAGTTGAAATTTCTGTTCAGAAGTGAAAATCTTTTTTTTTTTTTTTTGGTACCGGGGATTGAACTCGGGACTTTGCACTTGTGAGGCAGGCGGAGCCACACCGCCTGGGCCTGCCTCTGAGTCCCCTTCCACCGGGTGTACGCCGTGGCAAAGCTATTCATCTCCTCAACACTTCCACTCCATTAGCTCCAAACTACAGCTGGAATAGCTCTGAAAACCATGACGCCCTCAGGACAGGGAAAGCTCCCAGTCATGCCAGATTTACTTCCTCTCAGTCCCTTTTCTCCTTTGTGCTAACACTATTCCTGACAGTGAGCAAAAGTCCAGCGTTCCAATATCGAACAGTAGGTTTACATGCTCCAAGGCAGGATGAGCTATCCTCCCAAATGACGAAGGATACAAAATCCCTCACTTACTCTCTCGAGTGCCTGCCTTGTTCGAATTCCAGCACTCTAGGTCAGGTGACATCTTTAGCGGGCACAGGAGGCCGGGCAGAGCAGCTGTGATCATGGGACAGGAGCTGGAGGCCTGGTGACTCATCGTGTGGGAGATAAAGCCACACAGTCCTCCCTGACCTGGGGACACGGGGATCCGAACAGAGGGAGGAAACCGCATTCCTCACTGCCAAAACCACAGCCGACGGAGCTTGGCCTGCTCCTTTACGCAAGCTTCCCCCAGCAAGGTCCTCCACAGTGGCCAGCATTCCTAGGAGGCTCTGGCAGGAAGACACTGGCTACAGCTGATGACCTGCCCTGCGAGGCGTCTCCACGGCCTGGCACTCAAGGGATGAGGTCAGGGTTGGGGAAAGGGATGGGACGGGGACATCTGCGGCCTTGGGAGGCCACCTCAGCCTGAGCCCTCCAGCACCCTTGGCCCTTCCTGATCACCAGCAGCAAAGGACAAGGGCCCGCTTTCTGTTGACTGAGAATCACCAGCAATCAGATGACACAGGGAGAAAACAAACAAGCATGTGACTTACTGTGTTCCAGACATGGAATTAATGATTTACACGGGTCTCTTATCTGATACACTGTGTCACAGGCAGGAATGTAGGAAGCACAAAAGCCAGATCTCTGCAAGTGAAGAGTGATTTATTCTTGGTTTGTATTTTACCTCAAGGCATCCTTAGAGGAGCCACAATCAGTGACAGCTTAATCAGGTTTTTAGAATATCTGGTCCTGTGTGTTTTAAAATATGATAAGAAGCTTTGTAAAAAGGGCTTTCCCATTGAGCTGGTCCACTAACAGTTCTGGTAGCTAACTACATAACCTGAAAACTAAAAATATGGCTGTTGCTGTTGTGATTCCTGATTTCTTATTTTATGTAATATAATTAATTTACTTTAAAAGCTGAAGCGGGAGAAGGGAAATCAAAAGGATGAAGATGTGAAGTGCATGTGAGCCAGTTCCCCACAGCGATGCATGTATTGTGTATCATAAATGTCTGCATTTCACCCGAACCTTTGCTCATGTAGGAGGCTCTGGTGTGACAATGTGCACCCGTGTGTGGGAACATTCCTCCTAGGGTTACGTGTAAACACGGCCCTCATCTAGTCCGTGTCAACATATTGATTCAGTGTGCATGATTGTTTTGCAATATAATGATACATTGTCACGCGTCTGAATATCTGAGGCAGACAGCACAAGTTATGGTGACATCCATCCAAATCACAACTGGCAATGAAATAAAAAAATCTCATTTTAATTGCAACATAACTTAAGTGTTTTTCTAGTTAAAAATAAGTATGGACCAATTTTTAAATCAACAATGAAAACATTTTACAGAAGTGTAAATATTAATACTACAATAGGAATCTTCTGGTAGTATTGGTGGGAATGTAAACTGGTACGACCACTATAGAAATCAGTGTGAAGAGTCCTCACAAAACTAAAACTAGGAACGCCATTTGACCCAGTTATACCTCTTTTAGGTATCTTCCTGAAAGAGCAAACGTCGTATTCCAGTGATATTTCCATACCCATATTTATAGCAGCACAATTCACAATAGTGAAATTATGGAAGGAACCTCTATGCCCATTAACAAAGAACATGTAATATACTCCCAGCCACAAAGAGAATACAACTCAGCCATGAGGAAGGTAAATATGAGGCATTAGTAGGAAAATAGATGGATCTTGAGACTGTAATGGTAAATAAAATAAATCAGATATGGGAGGTCACTTTAATCATTTCTCATGTAGGATGTGGTTTCTGTTACATGAGAAACCCAAAATATAAATATTTAAAGAGCAAAATACAAGACAAATGGGAGGAATCAGGGATGTGGACTGCATAAAGGGGAAGGGTTCTGCAGGAAAGGAAGGAGGGAGGGCAGGGGGAAGAGGAGTAAAAGTGTTCAAGCTGTGATGTGTACGTATACCCATTCCTGAAGATGATGGTAATTGCATATCACAGATGTATACTAATATTCAAAATTTAAAGTAATTCTAAAACCCAGGCTTGGTGGCACACACCTATAATTCTAATACTCTGGAGGGCTGAGCCAGGAAGATCAAAAGTTCGAAGTCAAGCCCAGCATAGTTACACATGCCTATAATCCCAGCACTCAGGAGGCTAAAATAGGATTATCGCAGGTTCAAGGCCAGCCTGAGCTATGTAGTGAGTTCAAGACCAGCTGGGACTACACAGTGAGACCCTGTCTCAAAAAAAACTTTGAGGCCAGCCTGGACAACTTAGGAAGACACTGTCTCATTGCCTCAAAATAAAAAATAAAAAGGACTGAGGATATAATTCAGTGTGAAGGCTCAGGGTTCAATCCCCAGTATTGCAGAATCAATCAATCCATCAATCAACCAATCAATCAATAAAGAGAACAACTGGAAGAAGATACAGTGCAAGTTCCACAACAAATGACAATAGTACTTCGCTGAAGTGGAACAAAATAAGAAAGCTGACTACTGTATGTAGTTTATTTAAAGATCATAAAATGTACTGTATTATGAGATATTGGCAAATTCATAGTGAATTTGATAAATTTTCTCTCAACACCCCAAAAAGAAATGAAGAAATTATCTGAAATTAAAATTGAATCTCTAAGAAGAAAAAAATTTAAAAAGTTTCAACAGGCTCCTGTGTAAACCTTTTGGTCAGGTATTAAATTACTTTGATTCTCACCTACACATATGCATGCACACATACTTTTAGGTGGAGCAATAGTAAATTATTTCAGTTGTAGAAATTTTGTCCTCAATTTATGAGGAAAATAATAAAAATTACATTTCACCGAAAGTAGCCACTTCAATCAGTCACCGACACAATAGCTTAAAAAACGCAAGACCTTCACAGTAACAAGATCAACCAGTTCAAATTCTGAAAAACTACACGTTTGCTTTTTAATTTTTTGGTTCCTTTTTTGCTTTAAGGAAGTCAGGAAATATAAAATACACTGTCCAATTAGTACTTTGAGTATATTTTGTCCCAAAACACTTTTTAATTTACAAAGAAATACTGTTTATTCATGACCTAAAATGTCAAACTCATGGTATAGGTATTTTGTCAATACTTTTAGTTTGTCGGAGAGGAATTCCGTGTAGGTTTGTAAGCGTTAGTTTCTAACACAATAAACAGTTTGCTATGTTAGCCACAAATCCAGATTTATTGGAATTCGTTTTAAAGACTGATGTTTCCTCTATTTCTTTGTTTCACTGTGTGATGCAGTTTAAAAATATTTATGTTCAATTTTCTAAAGCTGATTCCATAAAACATGCCCTGGATACAGTTAAGATCACTCAGTGCATACATGCAAATTCAGTGAATCATGGTGAGTTTATGGACCCGCTGAAAGAAGTAGAAGACAGTGGATTTAATGGCTCCATGACTTCTTTGCCAAGGTTCTTTGCTTGAATTAGTGAAGAGTTATACAAAGATTTACCCTACTGCTAACTCCAATTCAAGACTGTCTTGAAAATAAAGAATATTGGGCCGGGCATGGTGGCAAGTGCATATAATTCCAGCACTCAGGAGGCTGAGGCAGGAGGATCACTGTGAATTGGAGCCCAGCCTGGGCTGCATAGTGAGTTCAAGGCCAGCCTGAACTGCATAGTGAGGCCATCTCTAAAAAAGAAAAACAATATTTGCCAAGTAGTTAAAAATGAGAGACAAATTATGTCACTGGGATGTTCACTTCCACAGCAGCAACACACTGTATCTGAGTGAGCCAAATGTGAACCTCCGAGGAAGGGAAAGCTTAGCTGTGGTATAGCTACACAGATGTGGGGTCTTCAATTCTAACTTTCACAATTTACTCAGTAACAGTGGCCATGTGGTTTTCTTTTTTTTGGTACCAGAGATTGAACTCGGGTCCTTGGGCTTGCGCAGCAGGCCGCGAAACCACTGAGCTAAATCCCCGGCCCTGCCATGTGGTTTTCTTACATGAGTCCACGTGCAGAGGATGTTGCACGTGCTGGGTGGCATTCCGTGAACTGGTGTAAAATACGGAGAACTTGAAGTAACGGCTACTGCTGGTAAAGAGCGATACGGCTTTGACTTCACCAATGAATTTCCTTCACTTGGACAGACAGTTTGAAACTGATAGTCAAAATGATTACTATTAAAAAGATGCACCAGTTTTGTCGATGTGTATGCAAATATTAAATAAGAATGTTTTTTTTCAGCTGATGGAAAACTTCTAAGCATGTTTGGAACACCTTATATGTGGGCTTTTCCAACGCTAAATGTATAAAATAGTGTACTTCAACTCATCCATTTCCCACTAAAATTAAGCACTGAAATCTGGTGGATTGGAAGTGCCTTAAGATACACTTAGAAAGAAGAAAAGAATCTAAAATATCCCAGTATTTTTATGTGGATTACACATTAGTGATAATATTTTGGTGGCACTGGCTTATACAAAGAATATGATTCAAATCAATTTGCTTGTTTATTCTTGCTTTTTTAATGGACTATTAAAACTGTAGATGGCAGACCTGATCTGATGCATTCCTCTCACACGATGCTCCTGGCGTGGCTGCCTCTGTCTCCCCCTAAGCGCTGCTGGGGATGGAGGGCCTTGCCAGAGCAAGAGGTGCGCGGCAGCCCGGGTGGGAACAGGTACCAGACTGGGGTGAGGCTCCTTCTGATTGGATGGAGAGTTGGGGTGCTCCCTATTGTCTTCCAGCTCTTTCTCCTATTTATGAAAGAAAGAAAGGGTTGGTCTCTTTCACAGTGCCCAACCATGTCCCTCTGGACCTCTGGCTGCCAGTGAAGATCGTCAGAGTCTCTGCCAAGGACCCAAGTGCGCAGTCAGAGGTCCTTTCTCTAGGAAGTACAGAAGTAAACAGCTGCAGGCGTTTGGCCCCAGGACTATCAGCAGTTCCAAAGCACAGAGAGGGAGAAGTTCTGGCTTTCTGGGATTTGAGAAGCTGGGGCCTGACAGCGGAAATTCACCTAAGGAAGTAAAAGGCTGTTTCTACAAACTAAGAATAGGATTCAGTGAAGGAGCAGAGTTAAAGGATGGAGTTTAGCAGGAGAAAGTCATTTATTTGCCCTTACACGTCTGAGTTTCATTCTTTGTTCCGCAAAACACGGAGGGAGGACCCACACGCAGTGACAGGGACTGGCATAATGACTGCTTCTTTATTGTAAGTCATTTTTGGAGGGACTGAGGCATGAATGCCCTGCCTGCTCTTCCGTCTTGGTGAGGGTGGTTTTGGTGTGTTGAGAAGGGGCGTCTCGGCAGAAAGCCGCCGTCTACCCAGCAGCAGCATGGGGCACCTGAACAGAGCCAGCCCTGAAGCTCCGCCCCCCGGGGCCTCCACCTGGCCGTGCCTGGCTCCGCGGGGTGGAGCTGGAACATGAAGTCATTTCCACAAGGGGGTTGTTGCAATCAGCGGGCAGAGTGCAAACCATAAGAAAGCAAGTACATGTAATTGCCATTTTTGTATTTTATTTCTATTTATTTTATTAATTAAAAAACACTTTTCATGTTGCTTTTAACAAAGTCACTTCCCACCCAGGACCCAACAGCGATATCCCTGTACCTGAGTTCTCCCCCACCTAGTCCTTGGCGGCTCGAATCCCCCCACACCCTAATTGGAAACCTACTCTGACTGATCTTCCTGGCAGGGCAGCAAAAACATAATTCAAGCACAAGTCTGGGCAGGAGGTGCGGGGCGCTCTGAACCCTCTCTCTGCTGTCTCACCTGGAAGAATGCTTCTCTCTCGCATATGCTGTTTGTTTAAACGAGTGCGTTCTCCCTGCCATCTTCCCCATGCTGTTGTGCAAAATGCCTTCTAAGAAAGTCAAAGGCCTGCGAATAAAGTATATGAACCAAGAGGCCCAGCAAGGCCCAGTGAGGCCCAGCAAGGCCCACTGACTAAACAGAAAGCAGGGAGTGAAGAAAGCATTCTGACAGAGGGAAGGAAGCAGAAGCAGACAGAAAGGAAGCCTGATCCGTATCTGATACTGAGCCGTTCGGTTACAGTCAGCGTTGCTCTGTCCTTACTAATGAGCTCATTAAGTGTAATGCTGTTTCAACTTTTTTATACCTTTCAGAAACCTCAATGGATTTATTATGTAAATTATGAGAGTCTTTTAGTGCTATCTGGGGAAATAGGTTGGAGTTTTAAGAAACGCTTTTTAATTTTCTCTTTTAAAATAATGAAATATAGACTCATCCTATCCAAAATTTCAAAATCCAAAATGTTTTCAAAGTTGGATTGAGAGGGCGCAAAGGGTCTGAGGCACAGACTGAAAGCCGAATCAGACAGTGTTGGAACAAACGAGTGCTTTTCTATCTAGACAACACGTTTAATCACAAAGAACTTAATATTTTTGTTGTACTTAGAGATTTTTGGCAAGCAAATGATTTTAGATACTGCTCTGTGAGAATTTCAAAATGACTTTCTGATATTCAAGTTGGAATGCCAAATAAAAGTCTTTTAAATGCACATACACGCATGTGAAATATTTCAGACCTTGTATGTTTTCTTTGCCCCCTGCAAAGAAAGAAAAAACATGGAATGTGGAAGCCAGTCCATCGCTGGTCCCTGGGTTGTGTGGCTGTACTTAGCTGGTTTGGCTCCGGTTGTCCTTGTCTTTCACTGCCCCAGCAGTAAATACAAAGCTCTCAGAATTCTCTGGTTAAACACTATCTGCTTAATCATAACAGCTGTGGGTTCAGGAAACATCAAGTTCACATTTGTCTTTGCGTCAGGGTGAAATGTTGCCCTCCGGTGACCGCAGCCGGCTGTGGTGCAGGTGACTGCCATGGTCACGCTGTGGTCTTTCTGGTTCTGTCCAGCTCCAGCCTCCCAGTTTGGCAGACCCTCTGTGTACTGCTCAAAGCTACTTTGTGCCCTGCAGTCTCCTTGGATACACACGGAATAAGGACATATCCCTGTAGAGCTTCCAGCACAAGATATAGGTTAAATAATTTTTGGAAAATGAGTGGACAGATATGACGATGCCAACTTGCATAACCATCACCAGTTCTGAGAGACCACGAACTAAAGGAGAGTTCAGTCATAGGGCAGACTAGATATCTGAATTCTCTGCTGTAAAAGACAACAAAGCATAACCCATGTCCTTTTTTTTTTCCCGGTACCAGGGATCGAACTCAGGACCTTGCACCTGCGAGGCAGGTGTGGTGCCGCTAAGCTAAATCCCCAGCCTGACCCATGTGCCTTTAAATGCAAAGCTGAGCTTACAAGAAAGTAAGAGAAATATAAAAGCCATAAGAAATTCATAGGTCTGCACTCATTGCTGTATGAGCACAGCTCTGCCAGCTGCCCAGGAGGACTTTTTCAATTGACCAGGCAGTTTGGGTTTTAAAGATCATAAAGAGCAAAAGTACATCCCCCTCGATGTGGACCTGGGGCCGAACCTCTAGAAAGCTCTGCTGATGGAACAATAGGGTGACTTCTTGGCTAAGGAAGATCAGAAGGAACATGCTGCACTCCTAGATAGGCAGAGAGGATAAATACGTACTTTACTATTACCCCTTTCTGAAACCTCACTAAAATCAGAGCAAAGAGAGTCCCTAACACACAATCCCAAGAACAACTCGGCAGGAGAAGATCAATGGTGGTAAAATACAAGAAGTTGGAGACTTATTGTGGGGACAACTGACGCAGAAGACCCTCAAGAGGCCAAGAAAACCCCGGTCCTGGTCTTGCAGTGGAAGAAGCTGAAAAACGACAGAATTTTTTGACAGAAATCCCCAGGAAGTTCAGAACTGGCGCGCGAGGAACCCAGAGGCAGTGGGGGTAAAGTCGCAGTTAAAGTGAAATTAGTAGCTGCAATGAATTATTAGTCAACTTGAGCAGTCAGCCCCACTTTTCCGCCGCACTGCTTGTCCTGCCCTGCTGTGCACGTGCACGGGCTGAGGTCTCCTGCGGCTGCAGCAAGGCGACCCGCACTCCTACTGCTGAGGGAGCGAAGGCAGAGCCCTGGACCGCCACACCTCAGGGCCTGTTAGGGACGGGGCCTTCCTCTGAAAATAGAAGTGCAGGCCCAGCAGGCCCCAGCCAACTGCTCTGCTAGTTCTCAGGACAGCTGCAGGGAGCACACAGCCCCCACAGGAGAAGGGGACCTCCCTGGCTCCTCGGGCGAGCGCAGAACGAAAGCTGTACAGCGCTGATGCCAGGGCTTCCCCAAAGACACACCGCAGTGTTACCCCAAGGCCAAGCCCGGTGTTTTGAAATATCAGCCGCCTTCAGGCGTCATCAGATATCAAAGAAGGCTCTGTCATGAAAGATAAAGACCAAAACAAATAAACAAAGGCACAAACAGGGAAATAAAAGGCCTCTCTGCAACGGAGACTGCAGGAAGACAAGTTTTTAAAGAATTGCCACCAGTATCCGTAGAGAGATAAGAAAAAATGTGCCCATAAAACAAAAATAAAACACCAAAAATAAAGACAAAATAGACAAAGAAACCTCATGTCCTGAAAACAAATTAAGAAACATTCTGAAAACAAAAAAACATTCTAGAAGAAGTCAAAAACATAATAAAAGAGTCAGAATCACCCCAAATGGAGTAAAAACACGAAATGGAAGATATTATTGAAAAGATACAAGAAAGCAAAGGACTGGTTCAGAAAGTCCTCAGACAACGAAATAACGTGAGACGTTTTCCCCAAGTACGCAGATGGGCGTTCCCAGAGCAAAGCTTGTAAGAACCCAGGTACGGGGGGAAACACGTTAGTAACCCCACGGCCCTGCTGGCTCCCCACAGCATGAAGGAGCACAGGAGAGCGCTCACGCGTTTCGAGAGAAGAAAGCATGTCCCATTCAGAGCCCAAGAAGGAGGACAGCTTAGGACTTCTTCCAGATAGCAACCCTGGAACCTGAAAGACCCAGGAGCAATGCCTTCCACAGTTTAGAATTTCGAGTCAATGTATAACTGAGAATTCTATTCTTAGACTATGGGAGTGGGCTAAAGACAATTTCAAATATGCAAGTTGTAAAGACGTTTGCGGTCCGATGTCTCTCAGGAAGCTGGTGGAGGATGCACTTGTCGCAGTTGAAAGCGGAATAGAGAGAAGGTGAGCTGCAGGAAACAGGAAACTCAGCGGGACAGAAGCAGGGAACTCCCCGGAAGGACCAGAGCGGGAGCTCCTCCCGGCCGCGCCGCGGGTGTCAGCCCCTCAGAGCTGTTCTCAGCCCCGCCACAAAGCGGCAGATCCCGGTGGGCTGGACGTCTCGGGGTTTCAGCAGTGGGGAGCGCTCAGGCTTGGTGTAAGGCTGAGCTCAGGAGACCGAAGCAAATCAGAACTCAAAGCAGGGTTATTCCAGAGAAGTTCAAAAGTTGCTTGCTTTACCTATAAATAGGATTTGTGTAGCTATAAAATAGTAAATGCAGAACATATGAACAGATAGTATCACGACATAGCTACAAAAGGCGCACTTTACTGCTTTTCGTGGAATTAACCTTTGGGGGCAAAAAGAATGAATGGTATAATGTAGGGCCGAAGTCCAAAGC